TGGCTTCTATCAGAAGGGTAGAAGCTACTTTTTGAGTGGCTGGGGCCACACATGTGTGTCACTATGCTGTAATTTGAATAAGAAGTGCTAAGGGGTTCTGTGTATAACATTTCACTTGTAAATACAGTAAGAAAAGAGGACTACTTGAATTATGGGTACATTGTTATTGCTTATAGTGTGTAAGTGTCATCACATAGATATATCTGAGACTTCAGTCCTATATTAATATAATAGTATTTTACATATAAAGCACATACACACACACACACACACACACACACATATATATATATATATATTGTACACACACACATATATACATCAGCCCTACTCATCCATTCAAGTAACTTGGCTCCTTTTTCACATATGTACGTTGAGTATCATGAATGTGTTCACCTACCCTTCCTCTTTCCATCTTTCTGCACCATCTCCCCTCAAGCCCCACTCGCCACAGACAAAGCAAGTTTTCAGCTTACTTGTTTCATTTTGTTAATCTGATAGTTAACCCTTGAAAGGAGTTACATCGCTGCAATCTCTTTCTTCATAAGAATTTATGTTAAAGTTAATTTTTATATCGTAGGGCATAGAGCTAAGTGCACTTTAAATTAGTAATGCCTCAACAGTCAAATTTGAAACAAAAGAAACAATTTCATGGTAAAACTAAATATCTTGAACAAAATTTTATTAGGATTACTTGTGATAATAACACTGAATATTTTAGTTGTTCTATTCTTATTAATAGCATAGGAAAAATTCTGTTTGTATGGACATTTATCCTGGAGTAGTTGCTGAATAAAGAAAGTAAAAAAGCCTGAGTACTCTCTTTTAATGTTCATCCATTCAAATTAACTTATTGATATTGGTAAGGAAGACGATAGAGTTTTAGGGTTGAAAGAAGGAATGCAGTGTTTTAAATCAAGAAAAAATATCTGTGTTATAGAAATAATTAGTTTAGATCGATTACTGTTCCATTGGAAGGTTAGTGAGATTTGCTTTCCCTTCCCCAGCCAACCATACATATGGAACTTACAAAGTTTTCCCTCTTAGCTGGCTTGAAATTCCATGCAACCCTCTCCTTGTCATAAATATTTAATAAACTGACACTTCTGTTTGCCAAGGCTTTTTGTGCATTGGGTAGAGGATTTTTATAAACTGTTCAAGTCACAATACTTTAATTTTGTGCATGTGTATTATTCCAAAATTTGTTTTATGTGCCAATTAGGCATTGATTTTTAAAATTGCTTATATTCTCTATGTAAGCAAGAAGTAGATTTTATATTATAGTACAAAGAAGATAGGAAACTAGATGTATTTAATGTGCATTAGTGACTAAATGATTCATTTACTGATTCATTCATCTTTATCTTTTGGAATATGTGTTCCATGTGCTCAATGTGCATATATAGTAGAATACTATATGGCTAATTTTGAAGAAATTTATATTCTCTTGTTATTGTCTGAGCTCCCTTACTATGAACAATACTATTGCATGCTTCAACTGTCTGAAAAATAGTCCTCTTGCTTGAGTCAATATAAATCTTGTACTTTATATTGCTTTATACATATTATCACCAACACTTAAGCAAACATATTGTCAAAATGTTTATATTTTATTCTTCATTTTTATTAGACTGACAAAAAGTGCAATCTGTGTTTTAAGCAGTCTTATTAAGATATTGAAAAACCATCTATGTGGAAGGGAGGAATAGTAAAATGGAGATTCAAGGCCAACCTAGACAAAGCAGTTAATGAAAGGCTGAAGAATTATATACACATATAAAATATCTGTATATTCATAGTTACATATATAGCCAGGTACTTGTGGCTCATACCTGATTCAGGAGGCTGAGATCTAATGATCACAACTCATAGCCAGCTTGGGCACAAAAGTCCATGAAACTAGAATCTCCAATTAACTACCAAAAAAAAGCCAAGACTGGAGGTATGGTTCAAATGGTAGAGAGTTGCCATTGAGCATAAAAGCTCTTAAACAGCAGCTAAGCCCTGAGATCAATCTTCAGGATGAGTGCACACACACACACACACACACACACACACACACACACACACACACACACACACACAAAACAAAACACATATTAATGCATACATACAATTTGAAGCTTTGATATACATTGTGAAATGATCAGTACAGCACAGTTCAGGTGGTTAATTTAGCTAGCATCTCTACATGGTTGTCCTTTGTATGAGAGTTCAAGGTAAGGATATTAATCCTCTTGGCAAATTTCAAGTATATAGTTTTATTAGCTGTTTTATTTATTTTTTGCAAAGTTGTAAACTATTTCCCTTAATCCTTGAGTGACTTTCTTGAATCTGGAACACAAGTTTCAAGGCCCATTGAAGTCCAAAGACATGGAATAAGTAGCTGCTTTGTGTGGATGATTGATCATGACTTACAAATATCTGAGCACATGTGACCTTAGAAAAGTGCTTCTGAGGGCTGGGAAGGTGGCTCAGTGGTAGAGCACTTGACTTGCATGCCTGAGGCCCTGGGTTCGATTCCTCAGCACCACATAAGCAAAAAGAAAAAAGCTGGAAGTGGCGCTGTGGCTCAAGTGGTAGAGCACTAGCACTAGCTGAAGAGCTGAGGGACAGCGCCCAAGCCCAGAGTTCAGGCCACACAACTGGACCAAAAAAAAAAAAGAAAAGAAAAAAGAAAAAGAAAAGCGCTTCTGAGGAACTCTTCTTGAGTTTGAAGTATATCACACTATTAAATATACAAAATCAGATAAATACTAGTTATTGCAAATGAGGAAAACCATGAGACCCAGAAAAGGTCAGATAAGATGATGCTAAACTAAATGAACCCCAAGATAAGGACATAAGTAGTTTTTATTTCTTTCTTGGTATTGTTTCTAATGTATTAATAAGGTACCTTGTGATTTTTTTGTTGCTTAGTATGTCCCTCCCCCATGGTATAACACCTGTTTTCACTGTATTTGATGTTGGTATAATTTGTGGAGGGGAAGGGAAAAAAAAAAACCACAATTGTTTAAATAGAGATACAGGTGGACAGATTGAAACAAAGACATTATGTCGTAAAACTAACTTTAAAACTTTGGCGGGGGGGGGGGGGGGGGAGGGGGAGGGGGGGAGGGGAACAGGGGAGAGGGGGGTGGTAGAGATGAGAAGGGAAAACAAAGGAGGAGGCAACAATGCTTGATAAGAAATGTACTCATTACCTTGCTCATGTAATTGTAACCCCTCTGTACGGTATTTTTCACAATTAAAATATGTATTAAAATAAATAAATGAATAAATATACAAAATCAAAGGATCGATAATAGAATTTCATAAACTCCTTCAGCTGTTGAAAGACCGGTAACTATAAAATATTGAAAGTAATTGGAAGTTTGAAGCTAAAAAGAATCTAAGGTATACATTATCTATGGTATACATAACTATACATAAGTTATACATAACTATAATTATCTATAACTAAGGTATACATACATAATCAGAAAGATGAAGAACAGAAGTAATAAGAATGTTTAAAACTTATTTCCTACAGTTTACCTAGAACTAAATAAATTCATACAGCTAAAACCTGGCAAATCTAGTACTGTAACCCAAGTTTCTTATGAACAAATTTATCATTCTTTGCACTGTGTGAAATCCAAGTCCTATTCTTACCATGTCAGTAGTTTTGTTGTTGTTGTTTCTCCTATTCATGTTTTTCTTTATTTTTCTGAACATACTTAGTTTCAGAGCTGCAAGCAGGGGAGCTTAGGCACCCGGACCTTTGCAGTACCTGAGTAAGTTATGGTTGGCTAGGCAGGCATTCACACGTACCGTTACAAAGTTGAGAACATTACTGACAAAATGCCTGGAAGTTTGTGAACCACAAAATATCCTGACTGACCAAACTGATTCCTTTAATTACAATTAAATGCAATGATTTGAGGAATAAATAATGCAGTGATATTATAATTAATGAATCACTTGGAACGAGGGTGAATAGAAATGAGAATATTTAAAAAATAACTAGAAAATGTAGTATACACACACCACACACACACACACAATGGAATTCTATGCCTCCATCAGAAAGAATGACATTGCCCCATTTGTTAGGAAATGGAAAGACTTGGAAAGAATTATATTAAGTGAAGTAAGCCAGAACCAAAGAAACAAAGGTCCCATGGTATCCCTTATTTACAAAAAATAGTACATATGTAGGACAAGTAGAAAAGGTCAAAAGCTGTGTACTTATGACCACATAATATGATGTTAAGTTAAATGAACTCCAAGATAGGGACACAATTTTTTTTCTTTCTTACTATTGTTTCTAACGTATTTATAATGTGCCATGTGATTTTTTTTTGTTGTTTCTTTGTTATGTTCCTCCCCCACAGTATAACTCCTGTTTTCACTGTATTCTATGTCGGTGACCTGCAACTTACATATACACTTCTTTAACTCAGGGAGGGGAAGGGAAAAAAACCCAAAATGCTTAAATAGAGATACAGGTTGACCCATTGTAAAAATGAGATGTATAAGACACTATGTTGAAAAAGAACTTTAAAACTTTGGTGTGGGGGGAGTAGTTGTGGAAGTGAGAGGGAAGGGATGGTATGGGAAAACAAAGGAGGAGGCAACAATGCTTGATAGGAAATGTACTCATTATCTTGCTCATGTAACTGTAACCCCTCTGTACAGTATTTTTATAATAAAGAATGTACAAAAAAACCTTCACAAGACAATGTGATGGAAATGAACTTTACAACTTGATGGGGCTGGAGGGGGAGAGAAAGTTAGAGAAAAATGAGAAAGGGAGTAACAATGTTTGACAAGAAATATACTCATTATCGTAACCTCTCTGTACATCACATGGCAATAAAATTAAATTAATAAAATGAATTTTTAATGTTTCCTTTTAGTAAAGTATCATCAAGTGAATTTTACATTTGGTGAAAATTATGAAATGTAAAAATATTATGTATTTGTATTGCTATACTATACCAACTTAGGCCTTTACATATACTAGAATAATCTATTTATTGTTCCTTTGAAGATACATGTAATTATAATTTTAATTTAGACTTACATGTACAAATTACCAAGACCACAATAAACTTATATTAAGAGGAAAGAAAATCACAAGATATTGGACACAAAATTTTCGACTTTCCCATTAGTAGAAGTACAAAGCTCCATTTAAAATTTCACAGATATTTTAAGATCATGAAATCATTGCATTTTTCATCCATACAGTCTATGAGATATAGATAGATAGTTAGATAGGAACATACTACAAACTAAAATATATCTCAAGAACATAAGGTTTCAGTATTGCTTATGATAAAGTTCATTGGTTGTTCTGTGAGAACCAAGTTTGTTTTATTCAAGTACTAAGGTCTTTCTGTTTGTAAAACACATTTACAATAGAGACATAGTTCACAAGCTACAGTTTTAAAGAAGTAATTTGTGAATTTGATGCAAACATTTCATGAATAAGAAGGTAATCATTAGTGTATTATTATAGTAAAGATGTTATAATATTTATATCATGAAGAAAAGTCCTCTCTTTTCTCATTTGTTAATAGAGCTATGTGGTATGCTATAAAGTGTGTTATGTATGTCCTATGAACTCTAAAGTTCATTCCTTTTAGAATCGATTTCTCTTTAGAAACCAGAAATCAATTTATAGCTTGATTTCTGTCATGCCCCTATTTATTTCCCATTTTGTGATTTGTTCTCTTTACTTAGAAAAAACAAAGATGGTTCTGGTAATACATCACCTTCAATTTAAACTTCTGGGATATTCAAGAATTGTTGGACTGAATCGTTTTTAAAAGTTTCTCATACATTTCTGATTTCAGAAACCTGGGATAGGAATCCATTTCCATATGCCTATACACTATTTTTTGAGCCTCTTCAAAACATGATTCAGTAGGTTCCTGAATGTTCCTGGAGATAGTTTCTCTTGTTGAACTGTCGATGTTAATCTGAAAAAGTAAAATTATATGTAAAGCCATATTAAGTAAGCATAGTCAAAGGGAAAGATTTAAATTATGCCCCTTCTTCAGTTTAACAGGGTAGCTTTATTACAGGCATGAGCCATTGGCTCCCAGCAACAATTGCTTTTAATAGGCCCCACTCTTGGATCCTATAGTTTGTTTAATCTCCTAGTATTTTATGGAAGGTGGATATTTACTTTTAAGAAAGTAAAATGTTTACTTCTTATAATTCTTTTTGTATCCTCTGAATAAAGCTACTCAGGAGGTTGAGATCTGAGCATCGCAGTTCAAAGCCAGCCCGGGCAGGAAAAGTCCATGAGACTGTTACCTCCAATAAACCACTAGAAAACCCGAAGTGGCACTGTGGCTCAAATGGTAGAGTGCTAGCCTTGAGCTGAAGAGCTGAGGGACAGCGCTTAGGCCCAGATTTCAAGCCCCACGACCAAAAAAAGAAAAAAAAAAAAAGAAAAAAAGCAATTGTTTTGGAGAATGTAAAAGAATTGTTTGGCACTCTGTAAGTGAGGAAGTTTATAAAATTGAAGTCTCTTTTTAGGTAAAAAGGAAGTTAGTGGTCATTTGAAGTTTTATTTCCTTAATAGCAACAAATGTTGCTTTAACTATGTCCTGAAATGGGAAGACAGTGAGGAGAAGTAGGAAAGGAGAGGGGAGAAGTGGTTATTTGGGTAAACTAAAAATTTCCAGACAAGAGACTTGGGGGAATAAGTAATTAATGCAGGACTCTTTCTGCATAATAGAAGCATTACATTCCACCCTTGAGCCATTCCTCCTGAAAAGTACATTTTACTCCTGAGTCAATACTTTGCTCAAGCAGTTGTAAGTCAGTGGAAGTAAATCAATGTGGATGAATATTTGGTTTGCTAGTTTTTTTTACTGAGGTTGGCAATCACAGACTGACCAGTACCACTGGAGATGGGAATAGTTGTAGCATCTTCTAGCAAGGAAATTTTTTCTAAGGATTGTCTTTTTGTTTTCTTTTTTCTTTTCTGGGAATTATTTAGATCATTTAGTGGATAAAGACCTCAGATGTCACAGCCTAATTTTAAATCCTAATTTACCTCTGAAGAAGTGTGCAATACTGGACTGATTACTTAAAGTCTTGGATTTCTAGATCTTTTCTCCGTGAAACTTAGAACAATACTGAATGTGTGACCTGTGAGAAGGTACTCATATGCCAAAAGCCTGGCATGTGTGGATGCACGGATAGTCATCAGCACCCCCCAAGGGATGTGCCAACCTCGACTACCCATTATTACCTCTCTAGGAGACTGTGGCTGGATATAGATCTTATAAAGCTTCTTGGCCTTAGAAATTCTGCTTGATCGTGAGGCAATTTTCTTATAGGTTTCACATGCCATCCAGAATTTTATATTCTCTTCACTGTGCTCCATTTTTAAATATGCAGCATAGACTACCGGACCATCTAAAATAGTAAAGAAATCATTTTATTTTCATAGATCAACATTATCGTAAACTCTGAGGTATATTCAATGCTTAAATCAGACTTCTGAATAAAAGATTCCAAGTTATGTATCAAGTACTTTATACCGATAGCAACCACAGTGATGTGGATGTATCTGAAACGCCTTTGGCAATGTGGCTAACTGCTGAGGTCATCCCTCTGAGTCACTCGGTGGAAGCTGTTCACCAGTGTAGATGACAGATTGACTGGGATTGCCACAAAGACTCAGAAAATAGGACTTCTGCTGGTCTGGTAGTCTGAATTCTCTCTGGTTATGAATTGACATAGCACACTTAACTCCTCACACCATACCTGTGGATAAGATCAGGTTTTCAAATCTAAATAGGCAAGTCAAGGTTGGAAGGAAAGTATCCAAGCTATGGAAGAGTGATACGCTGTTCCGTTTGTATGTCCTGATGTGTTCTCATTATCCAATAGCAGGAATGCAGATAAAGGTGAAAACAGGAACTTTATGTTCATAATAAATGAGAAATAATGACCAGGCAAAAAAGTAGAATTCAGAACAGATGTTTCTGAATCCAGTACAGAGTAGTGGCAGACATGGCATTACCATTGATTGGCTCAGATGCTAAGAAGTTGTTAAACTGAATTTCTCATGAGAGAAAACAATGACACAGATGGGAGGAGTTTGGGGGATTTTCTGACTGAGATACTATTTCTTTTCAGCTCATACTTGAAGATTTTGTGAGATCTCACAAATCTAACACATTACTCAGAATCTTCAGGATGTTCAAGTATTTCTAAAACTCAAGATGAACACTTTGAGATAAAAAATGTCTTTTATTAATTACAAAGTCTCTTGGTATATCTGAGAGATCCAGTTGCTCAGTGATAAAACAGCAAACTAATTTTCAATTGAGGCTAATAGATACATTTGTGGATTTGGCTTTGACTATCAACTCAACTCTGAGACCCATTAGAGACAATTAACGTAGGTTTATTTTTTAATATAAAAATCTTATATAATTTAATGTATATAGTGTGTTTGTATATTAGAACATACAAGTGTGCAACTGTCACCACAAGCAATGCTTTGAGTATATCCATCAACTCTACAGAGTAAGTTTTAGATTATCAGAGTATTGCTGTGTATCATTAACTTACTTGAATTAAGATAACCAGACCAAATGGAAATGATGAGAAAAGTCATATTTTCCTGGTTTATCACATCAAAGATTGGATCAAGTTCTGTAGGATTAGAAAGCCGAGCTTCTTGACTCCTTGGTTTCTATTGACTGGCAGCAGCAATAGAGGAATAAAGGCAATGATTAAAGGATTTTATGTGTAAGAGAAATAACATAGATAAAGGTAGCTTGCTTCTGAGAAAGAATTAAATATGGGGAAAGCTGGTATCTGCAAAAACTCTGACATCCAGGAAAACACAATCTTAGATCATGACTTCCTATTATCATGTGAGTAAGTATAGCTTTCAGATCATTCAGGAGTAGCTGTGACAGACAAATCACCTGGGACAAGAAAATGGATAAGGCTGGGCTAGAATATGTATAATTCAGCATAGGAAACCATGTAGATTAGATAACACTACCCACTGGAGACATATGCTTTATCTTAGACTTCTTATTTTCAAAAGGAATGATAAAATGTACCTTGCCACACTGTAAGCACAGAAAGCTGAGGGCAGAAAATAGCTGAATGGGTCAGCAAAACCAGATGTAAAACAAAAAGTACTTTCTGGTTTAAAAGATCAAATTGAAAGGCAATTTGTTATATGCTGAAGGTAAAAATAATGATAAAATGAAGAAATTGATATAATTGCTCTTTAGAGGAATTTTGACTGGATATTTTATTTGGAAAAGAAAATGTAAGAGTTGGGGTTAAAAAATGAGCAATCAAACAGAAAGTAATAGATACCTGGTAAAATCCACAGATACCATGGAATGAGATAGCCATAAAGGCTATTTGGATTGGTAAGTGGATTAGTGGATGGGTTAGGAAGGCAATCAGGAAACTAGTGTTAAGATTCTAAATTGTAGCACTGGGATGCCAGTGGCTGTAATCCTAGCTACTCAGAAGGCTGAGATCTGAAGATTACGGTTCAAAGCCAGCCTGGGCAGGAAAAGTCCATGAGACTCTTACCCTAATAAACCACTAGAAAACTGGAAGTGGCGTAGTGGCTCAAGTGCTAGAGTGCTAACCCTTGAGCTGGAGAGCTGAGGGACAGCACCCCAGCTCAGAGTTCAAGCCCCATAACAAAAAAAAAAAAGATTCTAAATTGTAGCATTCTGAATTTATATCTGTGTTTGATGTTTAACCTAATTATATATGAAATTGTTTATAGATGCTGTTTTCAGAACCTGATGGACATCTATTCTTGCTTTCTTTAACTTCTTTCCTGATAGAGGATGAGTGTCTCTATATTGTTGCAAGCTGGACTAATTGTTCATGATTCTATTTTATTATTATTATTATTATTTTCTGGTCATGGGGATTGAACTCTACTCTAGTCCTGGGCTCTGTCCACTTGAGCCCCAGGGCCACTTCTAGGTGTTTCTGTGATTAATTAGCTATAAGAGTCTCATTCCTGCCCAGGAATGAGAGTGAAACTGATGTTCACAAAAACTGATGTATACTTCTTGAACCTGTGTGATGTTTCAGCTATTTGTCTAGCATACAGACTAAAGAGATTTATGTGATTGGAATGTTTACAGAACTCTATATATTCGGCTAATGTTTGTGCATGCTGCAAGTTACCCACACAGGCCATTGAAACTGCACAGGTTTCAGGATTCTTAGTATATAATCAAAATTAAAATTGAATTACTCAGTTTAGAATTTCTATTGACTCATGTAACAAGGGACTAAACAAGTCAAAAAAGTATTTTACAAATCAGGCAATTGAATCAAAGGTGCCCATTCTGAAATTTTAAATGATACTCATTTCTAAGCATGGTGCTCAAAACACTACACTTCTGCTTGAGGAAAAGGAAGGAAGCATGAGCAACAGAGTTGCTCATTTGAGAATATGGAAGGCAAAGCTTTAAGTCATATGTTACGTTTTCCTGTTCCATGAAGAATGAGAATGTTGCCCTTAGTCATATCTAGCTTATGAAGATAGATTCCAGCACCCCTGGTAGAGAAGAAAGACATGACATTTCTTTGCTCTCAGTCAGAGAAGTGCCACATCTATCTCTTGATTCTATTTCTTATGTAGTGGCAGACTTTACACCCTTGCATTAAATTTAAAGGTGAAAAACAGCCATGAGTATACTTTAGAAATGTGTTTAAACCAACTTTAAATTCTTTTTGTTTTCAGTCAGTGCCACAAAAAAAATAACTTCTATTACCATAATGTGTATGAAATTCTGTGTTCTACTAAAATTTTCTGACTTGCCTGCTCAGGTAGTTATCATTTTTAATTTTTCTGCTACTGTTCTTTTGCTGTAGCCTTAGGAAGGTAACTTAAAGTAATGTGTATTGTTATTAATACTAAAAACATCTAATAAAGTAAATAACCACTATTAAAAATTTGTTGTATTTCTTTTTATTCTTTAATCATATATAGTCATGAATCTAGCTATTATTCATGCATCTGTACCAGAGAAGCACATGTTATTTTTAATATAATGTGGGGAGCATTTTTGTATCACAATGGCTCTTTCATACTTAATAATGTATGTTTTACTTTAGATGATGATATAATGCTACAATTAATCTGTATTATTATTTGGTATGCTTTAAACCATCTCTGGATAGTAATAATTCCCAGTGCAATATAATGTTAATATACAGCTGTTATACTATGTTGTCAGGGAATAATGACAAGTAAATAGCCTATAGTATGAACAAATATTTCTATCCATATATTTTTGATCTGCATTTGCTTTATCTCACCTGTATAGAACTGTGGATACAGAGAGCTGCCTGTAAAGTTAACAACACACTGGTATTAAACATTTAGATTTCTCTTTTCTATCATAATTTATCCAACATTGAAGATTTTGGTAAATAAATCCTTGCAACTCTTTGCTCTTAGAACATAATGAGAAGGAATAGTTTCTAGGTTGAAAAAGGAGATGTATCTCTAAAGCTTCTTTGGCCTAGAAATCCAAGGTAATTTTCTGATTCTTTCATGAACCTGGGAAATATTTTTAGTTTGAGGGCCCTCTGTATCTATGTATTTTAATAAAACATATATATATGTATATACACACATATGTATACACACATTGATAGATAGATTAATAAGTGATAGATTTCTTTTAGAAAGATTGCATTATATTTCATTGTCAATAGTGATATCCAGTAATATTGACTCCGTCTTGTTTGTTTATGGGGTAATGCCAGTGATACCTTTTTTCTTGGTTAGGTCAAATGTACTTAATTTATATTTATTCATTTATTTTTATTGTCTTTAAGTGTTTTGATTATAAACATTTCAATTCAACGATTCAGTTTGTGAGTACAATGCACCCCTTCCATCATTCTTCCTCAATTTTGCAAATGTCATCCGTCCCCTCAAGTTACATGGGACTTGTTTTTGTTTATTTTTATTTTTTGCTATATTTGTAGATCATCTACTATAACAAAGTTTCAGTTCATTATCTGGTATTACTTTTGGTCATTTACTAGGGCAGGAATACTCTCAATCCTCAGGCCTCTGTTGTATTCCCCCCACACACATTTTTTATTTTTTCTGGTCCTGAGGCTTGAACTTTGGGTCTGGGTCCTGTCCCTAAGATACTTTTGCTCAAGGCCAGCACTCTACTACTTGGGCCACTGCACCACTAACAGCTTTTTCTGTGATTTAATTGGAGATAAGAGTCTCACAGGGTTTTCTGGCCAGGCTAGGTCTGAACGGTGCTCCTCAGATGTCAGTCTCCTGAGTAGATACGATTACAGGCATGAGCCACCACTGCCTGGCTCCCCTGTTATAGCCTATCAACAAGTTTCCACTACCCAAAAGGAAAAGCCAGGGTCTC